GCGGCTGGGGAGACCTCAGCCCCCGACACCTGCCGCCCGCCCCGCGTGTGTAGCCGCCTGGACCTCGCCATGGGCGCGCTGCTCCTCCTAGGTAAGATCACTAGGGTGGATGCAGCCGCTGCCTCTCCCTGTGGCAGGGTCTGCTCTGGCTGACCTCCTTAGGCCCCCGCGAGTCTGCTCTAGGAGTTTCTGATTCTCCCGGCTGGGACAGAGCTGTGAGTTTCCCAGCTGCCTGCCTCTCCCCGCTCCCCCTCTCTCCGCTGTGCGGGTATCTGCATTCAACCACTCTCGCCCTCGCACCTGCTCTAGGGGACGTTGTTAGCAGCCCTCCCTGCTTCTGCTTGCCTGCACCAGTGCGCACAGGCAGGGCCGGATTAATGCAAAAGCAAACTAGGAACAAGTCTAGGGTCCTAGTGAAGAATGGGCTCGGATGTGCTTATTTTACATATTATCATTACTGAGGAAGAAATATAATATCAAAATGTCATCTTCAGCTAGGGGCCTACGAGTTTGTTTGTCTAGGGTCCACTAAAGGGTTAAACTAGTCCTGATCACAGGGCCCCTGTGTGGAGCTTTGTAAGGAGAAGCTTTGATGGTTGGGGAGGGGTCTTACTCCCAGTCCATTGTCACAGCTTGTGGTTCCCAGTGGCTGCTTTTGCCTAGACACAAATCACAGCAACTTGGCCCAGCAAGGACTTGGATGGAACATAGAGATGGTCCCCCAACCCCACACCCTCCCCCTTCAGGTTTGCATGAGACTTTGCCATGGACAGAGGCAGGTAAAAAACACTTTTCTTGAGTGAGCTCTCTAAGCGATGCTAAGTGAGGTGAATTGTTTACACACCCCTATTGCTTTGTTGCATCGTGGGGCAGAGGAACCTCCTGTCCTTGGAGCTCCTTCCAGTTTTGCTCCCTTTGTATTGATGCTGGGTCTAAGCAGTGTCATTTTTAGGGCTGCCCTTGGCCAGTTGCAGCCACCAGGAAAACTTCTTCCACTGAGGTCCTGGGGGCGCACTCAAATCTGTTAACAGAGATGGGGAAAAGGATGTTTCACTCTCTCAGGCTTGCCTTGATAAGGAATACAGGACATCAGGAAGACCTGTAAATGGGATACTTGTCTAAATAAACAGTGCCCTGTTTGCAGAGTGGCATAAGCAAGTGCTGGTTATTGACATTTCCCATCACTTTCAAATGGGAAAAAAAGGGAAAGAAAATGAACAAAGCAGGTTTACAGGAAGCAACCAGAAGGCAGTAAGAGGAGATTCTATTCCACGATATTCCATTCTCTGTTTCTGTTCTGTTTTATCCTCTGACTTTCACTATGTTCTGCACACCTGGTTTCCCCAAACCACTAGCATCTTCCTACTCTAAAACTCTGATTCTGCCGTTACAACATTCCACAGGTTAGTTCTTAGGCAATCATTCTCAGCAGTGTTAGATGTCCAAACATGATTCACAAGATAAACCCAGGTATCAAACAGGAATCCATGGTATTAAAAACATTCTGACCTGTCTTTTGGAGTTCTTTGGATCAGAGGAATTGCTCTATTATTCTTCTGTAGTCAAGAAAGAGTGAAACTAGGAGCTGGGTTTTTTTTTCCATGGGCTGCCTCCAGTCTATCATTGAGTATCTCAGGTGTAAAAACATTGAGAACCACTGTGTTAGGCTTAGGAACGTCAAAGTTTCCTTCAACATTTTATGTCCCTTTTTGCTTTTTGGATCCTTCCTTTGAATAGAGTCACACTGTTGTGTTTATGTAAAATGGAGCAAGCAGTATGCAGCAAATCACTTTAAAATCTACCTTTCCTTTTTGGCTCCCTGTCTAGTCATTCTTGTAGCTAAAGCACTGGACCAAGACTCAATGTCTGGCTTTGTCAGCAATTTCCTCTGCAACCTTAGGTGAATAATTTAATTTTTTCATGCCTCCAGTCTCCATCTGGAAAATTTGGTTCAAAATTTTTCCTTTTTGCCACCCTTTGTCCAACACCTAATATAAAGGAGCCCATATTTTGTTTGTATTCTCTAAGAGTTCCTGTTAATAGTTTTTGTTATAATGTGACTTAAGCTACATTGTCTTGATTTCACCAGAGGTGCTGACAGGCAGAACATTCCAAACATTCTAACAGAATAAGTAATTTTGTAGAGAATTAGGTGGGTCTAATTTCACAGAGGTAACCATAAGTGTTCTCCATTAACTATTAATAGCCATATAAATTATGCCATCTTGCGTTTGGTTTGAATAGCAACCCTTGTTTAGTAAGTCCAATCTACTTCTGGGTTTAGCATTAATAAATAGCTCAGAAACAGCTCTAATTAAAAAAAAAACAACAACAAGACAAATCTGACCTGATAATTAGTTGGCCTTCCCTTCCCCTCCTTCCCCCAAACTTAGCCATGGTACTTCATGTTCATAGAAAGGGGATTAAAAGTCCTGTGCCCAAATTTGTAGAGCCTTTATGTCATAGAGCCCAATCCGGGGTTTAAATTCCTCACTGCACAAAATTATCCCTTGGGGAAAGTGGTGCCTTTCTCCATGCCACAGTAGGGAGGTTGAATTCGTTCTGGCTGACAGCTGCAAGAAGGCTGAAGAGGCTATGTAGAGGGGAACTGTCTGTCTTAGCTACCTTGAATCTGGTAGTTGGAAAGGATGTATAAAGACAGATAAGTATTCTTCTCTTCAGTGCTAGATTTACTAGCTTGAGCTTAGCATGTGAGGTCTTTAAAGGCATGACATATTAAATGAAAGGCAGAAGGCAGGGCAGGGCACCTTATAAGCTAATACACTGAGGACACATCTACACATCTCTTTTAGGTGGGCTTAGCCTAAAATCACCTTTTTTAAGGAGCATTAAGGGTATGTGTCTATATGTGCACACCCTTAATGCTCCTTAAAAATGGTGATTTAAGGCTATGTGAGCCTAAATTTGATACCTGCATACCTTTATGCAGGTATCAAATTTAGGTGTAAATAGTGAAGTTTCATTAACATATGTGTAGATGTACTAATGCACATTAATGCAGTGTGCATCAATAGATACACACCACATCAATGTACATTGGCATTTCTTCATGTGCGCTAATGCAACTTAACTATTTACGCCTAAATTTAATGCACTTTAAAGCACATTAGCAAGTCCATATATAGATGTTCACCTAAATTACCTTAATGTGCCCTAAGTAAAGATGCATTAAGTGTAGGTGTGTTTAAATAAATGGGTAAACATGGCCTCAGAGAGAGATATTAAATATTATTTCATCCATCAGTTATTGAACATTAATTCTATTACATTTCTCCACACATCTCCAAAAAATATTCCTAGAGTAATACCATTTCATTACAATAGAGTAGCGTAGATGAAATAATCTCTAAATAGTAGCTGATTTTTTAAAATATTGTCTTATAGAACCATATCAACTGTGTGCAACTGAACTCAGTGCACAAGGCCTGTACAAGACCCTAAACAGAATGTAATTTTCTCAAAACTGGTCTGGAAGGCTTCACTTATCCTTCTAATTCCATATGGGATGACTTAAATGTCACCTAGAATGAGCAGTGATACCTAGTTCTGTGAGGTGCTGAGAATCCTCCACTACAAATGAAAACACTCTAGGAAGTGTTGAGCAACTTGCTGGATCAGGTTCTATATTACTATGCAAAGGGTCATTTTCTATCAAATTAAAATGAAATGATCTCAAATTAAAGATAACTTTAGCACAAGAATATGGATTAAAATGTTAAACTCAACCTTATATCTCCTGTTCTAACAAGGCCAATCTAATTTTCTGCTGATAAGATAAACCACAGGACACATTTCAGGAAATTCTTTACAGTGAAATTGAAACTTCAGTCTTTCACATGATTTGCATATGATTTATGATTTAACTGGTCTTAACATTCAATGCATTTAGTGATGCTGATAAAGAATTTGAGAAAAATTTCCCTCATTCTCCTCCAAAACTTCAAAGAAAATATAGTTTATGATGCAATATATTTACCTGGCACTATTTATAAGTTCTACAAGACATTATGCCTGGGAGTCTTGTCCCTGAAGTTTTTAGAACCAGTTAGACAAACACTTAGCTGGGATAATCTATTCATGGACAATATTTCCTTGAACAAGGAGTTGGACTACAACCTCCTGAGGTCCCTTATAGCCCCTTCAGTCCTTCCAACTATTTATAATTTCTATGATTCTATGATATTCCAGTAGTCATAGGTGATTTAATGTTGCTAAGATCTTATAGCATCTTGCCTTTTGAAACTGCAAGGAAAGTTAAACTCAATGTTTCATTTGACTTCGTATTTTGTTGATTAATGAAGTTCTAACTAGCTCATCCTTCATTAAATCTGCCTTACGTTATGTTGTTACATTTTGTAGCATGGATTTGTGGAAGCAAATATCTATGTAAGGCACTAAATAATCACTACTTCTCTATTTTTACAGTATTAGCAGTATCTTTCTCAAGCTCATTTACTTCTCAGACCACTGACTGCCTCCAGGTGAGAGAGCAATGTATAAATGCTGCCAATGGATGTGAAAGTGTCTGGAATATAATTGAAGATGTCTGCAAAATTTCAGGTAATTTTTACAAAATACATTGCAGTATTTGATTGATGTATATATGATAACAGTTTCTGTCCATATATGATTAGCTTCTAATACCTAGCTCAGATGTTGCATCACAATGAGACAGGAGTGACAGTATTCAATTCAATGGGGTTCCACAGTTGTAAAACTTAGATGTGAGAGCAGAATAAAAAATGATTGCATAATTAGGGTTGAGCCCTGAGTTCTGAAATCTTTACTAAGGGCAGACCTCATGCAAATACATTTTTAATGAGGTTTGAGCAGGTACAGCTTGGGTCAGAATATGAGCCCCGGTCACCCAGCTGGGAGTTTTGTCTGAACAAGAGCTAAATAATGATTTCAGCATTTAGCCCTATATGTTCTAAACTAAGAAAAGTCATCCAGTTAAAAATACCCTCTACAGATCAGAGGATGTGGTGTTGTAATAGACCTAGGCAACATCATAGTTTCCTGGAATACGCTGAAAAGTAATATTAGAATTTGAAATGAACAAATTATAGTGTACCTGACAGAACTTTGTAGAACTAACAAAGTTCTTCAGTTAACTAGCACTAACATGTCAGAGTGATTCATTTCCAGGGAATGATAATACAACATATTGCAGGCATTGAACATGACTAATCTCCCTCTGGTTATTAAACAGTTAAGAGATTTTCACCTGCATGAGAGAAAGGAATCATTTTCTCTGCTGCTGTTTATTACCTTAATGAACAAGATTATTTTTATTAAACAGTTTAATGATGATAACAATGTTGTTCCATATCTGTATGTTTATATATATATATATATATATATATATATATAACCCATTTTATAGCTGCTCAAAATGTTTGAGAGCATTTTAAATATTAAAAATCTATTTTTATGTTAATTATCATATAAAATTTATTTAATTCTAAAGTTCTGGTTTCAATGAAATACCAAACAATTTTCACAAAGAATGATTGTTTGTTTATTAGAATTATAATTTCTATTAGCTCTAATTATCTGTTCATAGTGGATCTGCAGATGTACTGCTCTTTGTTCTATATACATGTTTACCTAATAAAATGTGACCTTTTTTACCAGGGAATTTAGATCTAGTAAATATCTAAATACTATTATGAATGCACCAACTAATACAACAGGCCTGAAATGCAGCCTCATTTGTTTTATTAAACAAGCCTGAGTTTGTTCAGATCAAGAAAGTCTTCCCTCCTGTTGCTAATACAGAAACGTTATTCCTTCTCATTCAGATCTCTCCTGAAGACTAATTTCTACCATTAGAACTTTAAGGGGCAGATTCTATTCCATCTATTAAGTGCCTAAGAGTGATCCTACCATGTTTGAGCCCCTGATAATCCATTTTCTATGTTTGTAATATGCTTTCATCTTGGCCTGAAACACTCATAAAAAAGCAGTGAGCAAGAGGAAAACCTGTGACCTTTTGGTATTAACAGTCCAGGAATTGAAAAGGATCACACTTAAGTACATAGATCCATTTAGACACCAAGTAGATGGAATAGAATCTGGCACTAAGGTGACAGTCAAAAGCCGACAGCTGAATCAATTCAATCTTTGCAGGTTAGTCTAAGCTGTATAGATTAAATTGATAAGCTAGTGAACGTTCACTTTTGACTCTGGAACTACAGCCACGTGGCAACTGTAGCCTAGGCCACAAACTGTGGGGGTGCTAAAGCACACCTCCCTGCTTGGCTAGAGCAGGCAGCTTGGGCCAAGGCTAGTACGCCCACCCTGCAAGGGAGGGTTTGCGGCGGGAAGTATAAAGCATCCTGGGATGCTGGGGGACTGTGAGTTAACTTGAATCTGTGGGTGGTCTGGGACAGAAATTCAAGAAATCAATTTAACCTAAATCATTTCAGTCTAGTAATGCATCCATCCAGGTCTGTCTTAAAAACAGTTTCAGCCATTTTGAAAGCAGTTTATGTGCACTGAACTTCTGAGCTAGGGACAGCCATTGAAAAAGCCTGAGCCTGAATTGATTCAATCTTTGCAGGTTAGTCTAACCTTCCTAGGTTGAACTGGTTTGTGACTGCACAGACATCTTCTCTGGACTGAGGAAATTCAGGCACATGCCTGCAGTGGCTCAGGCTAGAAGCTGGGGGCCCTAAAGCAATCTTCCCTTCCCTTCAAAAGTGCTAACTGGGGGGGGGCATGGCCAGACCCCAGCAGGACCTCCAGTTAGGGACAGATGTAAACCCCCACCCTGGCCTATGCAGCCCCAGGCTGCTCAAAGGGTGAGAGACCCCAGCTCCTGGCTAGCACTCTGAGGCAAAGTGGGTGTGTGCAGTGCATGCATCTGTTGATGATGATGAGCTTTTTGATCTCTCACTCCCTGCTTCTTGCTACTGTCTGCAAACCTGACAGGCGAGGGAGCCAGGAGGGGCCTGATAAACACTGTGTTATCAGCCCATCAACAAAACAAAGCCTATCTCACTAGTTCAAGATCCTTTTAAACAGCTTTTTCCAAGGAAGGAATGGAGAGATGTTGCCAGATGACTTGTTGATTAGCTCCAAAAATCCTAAGTGGGCACTGTTCTGTCTGCCTGTCCCAATTAAATTGGAGACATGCACACACAGACACCTTCAGCATTAGCTAGCACACTACATGTCTAGGGTCCATGGGGCTGTGGTCTGAGCTATGGGAGATGGGAGGGAGGGAGGGAGGGAGGGAGAAAGGGGGTATCCCTGCTCAAGCAGCGAGGGTGGTGTGGGGCAGAGGGAAGCAAGGCAGACCCTGCTGTGCCTGCAGTCTCTGACAGAGCTCTGGCTAGGGAGCAGAGGGGCAAGGCCAGCTCTGTTCTCTGCAGTAAAGAACAGAGCCCTGCCCAGGGCTACAAAGCATCTGGGATACTAGGGGACTCTGGTTTAGCTTAAACCTGGAAAAGGTCTAGAACACACATTGCATAAACTGGTTTGACCTAAATCAGTTAAGTCTAATACTACATTCAACCAGGTTTATCTTAAACCAGTTTCAGCCATTTTTAAACTGGTTTATGTGCACTGAAATTATGTTCTTTTACAGGTTTTGACCAGTTTCTGATCACTTAAACCAGTTTATGTGTAATGTCTGTTCCTATCCCTGTTGTGTTACAGATTTGAGCCAGTTTCCAATCACTGATACCGGTTTATGTGTAACTTCTGTCCCTAGCCCATGTGTAGGGTGAACATGGAGAAACATAGAGAAACAGAGATTAAATAGTGCTGTGGTTAATTGAAACAGATTTATTAGTGTGAATTTGAAAACACTGAAATTATTAAAAAGGCAAAAATCTAGACCCACGGAGGATTTTTCTATACTGGTGGGAGCTGGTATGTTTCTGCTCCCACTTGCACATGCCAAACCCAGAAACATGATGGTAAAGCCACTCTGGGGACATCCCCACAAGCTCTTGAGAGAAGCTATAAGGGGATGCTTCTGGCTCAGCTTTGCCTCCCCATGTGGCATGTGCACACAGAGCAGGTGATCACAGTGTTCTTGAAGCATACCCTAATGGACACATATGGGCCACAACACAGACAAGTCTAAATGGACGTTGGGTCATTTGTATCACTTTATACCCTTAAAACCAAACTATTATTCCAAGAGAAGAATGATTTTCCCCCCTACTCCTTCATTGCAGGGCTGGGGGCGGGAAACATTTGGGGAGAATATTACAATCACCTCTCTCCAGTCCCCTTGTGGATACCTTCCTAAGGGTACTCCAGTGTTTGCTTAGGCCTTTCCAAGGGCTCAGAGTACCTTGGCACTCTACTATAACCTCTGCAGTTGTACTGCATTGTGTGGCTGTGTTCCTTCTATCTTCTCTACCCTCCAATAACACAAGGAAATTAGAAATGTAAATGTGCTCTAATCATCTTACTGTAATATGTTGGAGGAGGTTTGAACATTTCATTTCAACAACTTTTTGTTTTGACAATGTCAAAATGTTTCAATATTACACCTTATTTTGTTTTCTTTTTTTTTGATTAGCTGAAAAATTAGGAAATGTCTGCCCTCCCCCTCCCCGCCACACATACCCACCAGATTTTTCTGTATTGGTGACAAAGTAAAAAATATATTAGACTTCCAGATCTGCATCAAATGTTAAAAAATCTCTGTGAATTAGATTCAGAAGTCTATATTGTCCTTCATCCTTAGTTGAGACCCGTATTGACAATGGTAGTTCTGCTTGTGAAAAAAGAAGAGATTATGACCTAAAACGGGATTTATTTCTTTGTCAAAAGTCTGTTTTCCATCATATGTGGATATGCTGTAGGATGACCTGTAAATTTTACTTTAATAAAAATCTGTATTATTACTGGCTTCCAAGCACAATATAAGAAAGCATTTTTGGTAAGCATCCTAGTAATATGTATTTTAGCTATAATACATTATTTGCAATCAATCAGTAATAAAAGGAACAATAATTGAAAACCAGCAATAAACGTATTTTCTGCCTATTCATCACATAGCTGAATCAACACTGTGATATCAATAGCTGTGATACTGAATCACATAGCTGAAACACATTGATACTGATAAGAGAACTATATACTGCCAAGTACATGGTCTAACTTTTATACAAACCCCATTTATCCCTTTTGTGCTGCACAACATACTAAATTGCTAGGGTAAATCTCTGGCCTCTGTGACTTCATCATTATTATGGTGCAAGATCTACTTAAAATAACATTACAGAAATTCCTCCATGGCTATGTACAACCTAGGAAGTTTTTTCAAGTAGAATTCATAACAAAGTACAGCAACTAACTTTGCACTTTCTTTAGAACTCATGCAGTTGGGTTCCTTTCTTCATGAAGCCCATCAACACAGTAGGGGTTATATCAACAAATGATGTGCTGCCTGGAAGTAGGCATCTCATTATGCCATCTATCATCCTGTAATTGTGGACCTTTCTTCCAATGAATTATGGGACACCAACATTCCTCCTAAGGAACTGTGAGATGTTGGAGTCCAGTTCCTATATTTCCCTCTGTTCTGTCTGATA